ATCATGTCCATCAGTATCGGTTCCTGCTCGGGGCGCATTCCCAGCGTCTCCAGCTCAAAGTTGACGGCACGCGCTGCTTGATTCACCTCCTGCTCGCTTAACGTGGGCCGCAGGGTAACATCCGCCAAGAGGCGCGTGACCGAGTCAATGGCCCTACTGTCAATGCTGGCAGCATAGATGAGGGTATCACGCGAGCTCTGACAATCGCAGATGCCACCGTTCTTCTCCAGCTCTTTCAGTATGGCATCTCTGTTCGGAAAGTTAACTGTGGACTTTGGAATAGAACGACAATTAGGGATTATCCGACATATTTCCAACCAGACTTACATTGAAGGCTAGCTTTTCGAGAAAATGCGATACACCGCCGGGATAGGCCACCTCATAGCGTGGGCCCGAGTCTATAACCAGGCCAACAGTACAGAATTGTCCGTAGCGAGGCTCCGAGGCAACGCGCAGACCATTGGGAAGGGTCGTCACCTTTGTGATGGCACTCTCCGCCATTGGCGCCGCGTACACAGCTTCCGGCATGTCGGGCAGTGGTTCTGTGAGTGGCGGAAGATGCGTAACAATTTCCTTCGACGGCGTGTTAACCTTGCTGTGGCCATCGTTTGCTCGCACTCCGCCAGTGATTTTCCCAATGCCTGTGCCACTGCCTATTTCATCGTTCCCAACTTGCGTTACCTTGGTGGCAAAACGACGTGGAAATCTGCGGAACAATTGTGAAATGATTATGATTACATTCGCCGGGTCTTATAGGCACACCCCCCAATCCCCCACCACAAAACCACACGATTCTTACGTGCGCCAGGAGTGCTTGAGCGTTTTCAGCATGCCGATGCCTCGCGCGTTCATGTTGCTGCAGGTTTGGTGTTATAACCGATATATACAAATTTGTTTGACTTATAATTGAATTTTATTCAAAAACATATTCTATTCTCTCAAAACCCAAAAATTTTATTTTTATTTTTTTTATTTTCTATGATGGGCTGTCGATATTTTTTTTTGAAAAGGTATGCTCGGTGTTGTTGTCGATGTTTGTTGATGAGTGTTGCTATCGATGATTGTTGGTGACGGCATGCAGGGTGTTGCATTGGAAATGTTCTTACGATTTAAAAAATATTATGATTAGTTAAAAAGTGTGATCGTTTGTAAGAGTTTAAAAAATTATAATTATAAAAATAAAAAAAATCACAGTCGATGTTTTCGTAGCCCGAGTTATACATTTTCATTTTAAAAATTTACCGTATATACGTAATTCATATTCCTCTAATTTTATATTCTGATTAGATTTACCAGTTGGTTGGGACTCTCAGCCCTTAAGCGACAATTTTATTTGATTCATCATTCCGTTCTCCACAAGACTGGAAAATTTTCACAATTTTTTGTACTGTGGTTAAATTTAAAACCAAAAGGCCAACACACAAAAATAACATTGAAAAATAGTATTTGAAAATTTGTTGCTTGTCAACTGGTAGGTTTGATATTGTATGTTCATTTGTATACCCTATTTCCATAAATTAATATTAATATTCAATTTTCAAAGCTGATTCTTTAAAGATCCTTTGATCTTTATCTTAGACCAACATGCCTGTTGCCATCTGGATACGTTCTCAATATATATAGTCTGCTAAATTTAGTTGAGAAGATCTCCAACACAGATTGACTTGTTTTTGCATTGATTGGAGCCTGAGATTTCTAACATTTCTTTAATTACAGGATATCCTTCCCACAAGGAGTAATAAATGTTGCCCTATTCCGTGCACATGTTGGGGAACAATGCTGATAACTTATCGAATCATGCTGCTGGTCCATACGATTTTTGTTGCCAACGGTAAAATACGTAAGTGTTATGGAATTCAACGTCCCATCCCCGATAAAGAGAAATTCCTCAAGGGACATTTGAAAAACATGCGTATGGGAGTTTCCGTACCCTATATTCTTGAATATACCTTACAAAATTGAATTAGAGGTTAATAGATACGATTAGAACTCAAAACATAAATAGAGATATGTCTGGAACGCCGATAAGATTTCTTTGCAGAAAATATATGCTGTATGGTGTATGGTTTGTGGTTAATTGCTTTACGCGGTTTGTTCTGAAAACATCGTAAGCATCGATGTCCACAAATATCGATGTATTCAACGTAGGGGGATGGGATAAAGACTCAGATAAGTCCCCTTCATGTGCTAGAGTTGCTCATGTGAATAGCGCTGCCAACCCCCTCCGATGTCTTGAGCGTTTTTCCGTTATGTTTTAGTGAAATTTAAGCATTTATTTTCCTTTATTTGTATTCTCTTATTAAGCTAATCGAAATTGAATCGCCGCTTTCCATCGAAACGATAACCATAGGCTGCTGCATTTTTCGTGTCCACCAGCGCAGGATTGCGATGTTTAAAGAAGCTGCCGTGACCATGAGCGGGGCGAGAGGCGCCATTCGGGACTCCTTCAACTTCACGCGGATAGAAAGCCTCGAACATGCCCTCAGGAGGAAGGCAGCACTCTGCTATCTTAGTATCATTTGGATCATAAGGTTTGGCATTCATCATTGGCATTCGAGCCAACAAAAAAACGGCCAATATTTTGAATAATTTCGTAATAACACTCATTATTTATCAATTACACACGCACGCGAGCTGTTTGTTGACTTTTACTTTTCGGCTACAAGACAAGGCAGAACTGAACCCGTTTAAGCCTGACCGTTGCAAGCTGTGGACCGAGTATTAATGTTGGCCAAAACGAATGGCATGCCTGACATGACGTTGTTTCTATGTTTCTGGTTGTTGCTCTTGTTGCTGGAGACAGCTGTTAAACGCTGTCTTTGATTTAACAGAGTTGGCAGGGCTGCTAGCATAAGCTTTCCCGTCTTTCCCGTTTGAATCCCACAGAAGTGCCCGCCCACGATAAAGACCGGTCACAGACACACAGTTTTTAAGAACAATTTGTTAAAAGAAAATAATTTTAATAAAATGTCTGGTTTCGTCGTGCTAACAAATACGAACCGTTGGCTGGTTCGTCAGGAGTCTAAAATATGCAAATGTGTGAAATATTAGGAAGACGAGCAAAACGAATATACATTTCCAGGAAATGGCAAAGTGCATCCGCGAGAATTAACACACATGCATGTGTATGCAAGAAAAATAAGGAAGACTGACAATGGATTCTATGCACGTTCAAATATATAGAAATCATTTCGCATATTCCTGGAGTAACATTAGTAACTAAAGTTTAGTTCCTTGTGGTTCCTAGTGGTTTTAAACTTAAAGAAACTTTTCGAAATTTTGCACACATTTGTACGTAGACACGGAATTTCTGAATTTAATCTGATAATTTCTATTCCCACCTATTCCCCTGCCACCACCGCCTGTGAGAAAGGAACCATCGACGTCTCAAGCGTTGAATTCTGAAACTCCTTGGAGTCTGGAGAAATCATAATATTAGTACCAACCCGTGGATATGAGGAAGTCTATGGGGGGGAGGTAAAGGGTCTCCTCTTCGATGACCAGACCATACGCAAAGGCTTCATTCGTAGGGTTTAATCCATTCTGCTTGCAAGTATTAACAGGACTAACGTTAGTTATACATTTCCAGGTAAAATTGCTTTTTACTTGCCACGAGCCATTAAAAATGTTTGTGCAGGAGAATCCCCCCGTGCTCTTTGTGGCCTTAATATTTTTTCCTTAATATAATAGTCTTGATCCCTATGGCCGGCATAGAAAGCTTCCGACGCGATCATCCCACAAACATTGTTTGCCTTGGCGCCTGAGTCGGGCACAGTCCTGGTCACATATGCGATGTGCTTCACTGCCTGTGGCATCAGCACTATGTTCACGCCGAGCCTCAACGAAAACATAGCCGTGGCGTGTTTAATGGCGTTAATTTCCTGCCGTTTCCTCATCTACGATACACAACAGATCATCGGTGGCGATCACGAGTGCCAGTTCAATCCGGAGAATACGTATGTATTTGCCGCACTCACATTGCACGTAGTATTCTTACATATCCTGAGTTGCATTGTGAGGTTGAAATAGTGGACTGAACTCACTTTTAATCCCACCACAGTCTCCTTTCGCAAAGCAGGATTAAGAAACTTATTGATATTTTATACAAGATGACAAAAGTTACCATTCGATGGTTAGTCAATGTGAAAAGCAGTGCCATTAAATGTTTCAAACATGCCAAAAAGCTGAATCCAAAAATGAAATAATATTGTGGCATTATTGATTATTTAATATTTTATAAACTTAATTTTTTTTGGCTCATCTTGTTCTACGATAGTTACAATAAGTTTATTAATATTATTATAATATATATATTGTATATCTGTGTGTACGTGTACGTGTATAGGTGTGGCTATTGGTATGGGTGTAACTATAAAATACAATCACAAAATGTATGCCATTTGATAAACTTATGTATTTACAGGGGTATTTACGCGGTAGAAAATAACTTACGATCCTCGAATCGAAAAACGAGTATGCGAGTTAAACTAGTATGATTAGTAAGTAACTAGGGCTTGACTAAAGGGTTGGTTCTATCGATGAGCTGCACGTATTAGTTTGCTGCTTTGATCTGGTCCTGATCTTGGTCTTCGTCATCTCATCATCATCATTATCTCAAGCGTAGGAGCTGCAGGATGATCCCAACATCGTAAAGTTGAGAGTAGCATGCGTGCTAGCTAAACTAGATTAAAGACTTTTATTCGGTTTAAGGTTTGTTTGCAAATTTGCCATCAAGCTTGCTTTGATCTACCGGCTCCTGAGTGTGTCTGTCCGTGTGTGTGTGTGTGTGTCTGTCTGTGTGCGGATGCTCGTATAAAATGTGATATCAAATGCTGATCAGCCAGCGCTCAGTCCTCCGTGAACGGATGATCGGATGTCTCGCTGCTGTTGCGTCGTCGACTTTCGAGTATTCGAGTTGACTGCTCCAGGGTCTCCTTGTAGAATACGTTCTTGGCATCGTCGCTGGGCAGCGAGTACTTTGAGTTGTCCCAGTGCCAGGTTAGACCCAGGACAATATTGAAGGCGGATGCATCGTAGCCATGGCAGCCGGAGTACCGATACAGCGGCTTCTTGTTGAACTTGCAGCCATTCGATTGGGCACCTGCGGACAGATACGTGATACAGAACAAACAAATTAGATAAACGATAAACTGGAAAAAGCGGTGCTTATCAACTAACAAATTATCATCTACTACACTGCCAATTAGCATAAAGTTAATCAGTTTTGCTACGGTCGAGCGATAAAATGGACACGGCAATAATAGCGGAAAAATCAACCATCCAGGAAACGGCTATCCAATGCGAGCTGCTCCTTCCACATGGACATCACCGGAAGACCTACGCATTCGACATTGCAGATATTCGCCTGAGACGTCGCTTAGTGCAACGCATCTATGGATTGCTAGTCGTAGGTCACAAACTCAGCCAAGTTCGATTTATCCAATCCATTTATTTTTCCCGTTGCAGCTTCAGGTTGCCTGCACGATGCCCTGGCTAAGGATAATGCTGGAATACCCACCGCCCTATCCCGCAGCGATTGTTTTGTTTTTCTATCTGATGACCATGTTCCTGTACACGTGCTTTTACGTGTGGCGCGATTGGCGGCGACGGGCGCCCTACAACTATCTCGTTCTGCTCCTCGGCACGGCGCTCAGCTCGCTGAACCGCAGCTTCTATCTGATATACGTGGCCAAGGCGCATTGGGTGAGTGCTACCTAAGGTGTGGCAGGGCAGCGATATAGTGGTGTCCTTTCAGCTCTACGCCTACCCCATCATACTGATGGCGGAGCTCTTGGCGCTGATGCTGTACTCGGCACAGGAACGTTACCGATTCACCCAGGCTCGAGGCATTTTCATAATACTCCTCGTCTTTGGCATGTTCACCCTGATGGCCTATAGGCTGGACCTCCTATTTCAGATAGTCTACAGCATGGCCTGCACAATCGAGGCCTGGTATGTGCTCTACGACACCCACTTCATGCTCTGCGGCCGCCATGGCTACAATATTGGCGATGCGGAGTATGTCTATGCCGCCGGCAGCATTCACATCGATCTCCCCAAGTGCGTGTGGAGGCTGCTGAAGATGCTGATCCTAAACAAGTTCGTCGAGACTTTCCACTTGCTACGGGAATGCTTCAAAGCTGAGGTCTGCTAAGCTGGCCCGGAATATTTGTGGATTTTAAATTAACTTTCTGGATTCAAAGCTTCGGAATAAAGTATTTCTGTAATTGAACCAGGGGCATAACATCAAGTGTTGCTAAATTCCTTGAGGATTTGCAGAAGTAGTTCATGGAGTAGGAACAAGATTCTCATTCATTATTAAGAAACTACTAACTGAGGGCACGGAAGCAGTTCAAGGCTTCAACAAGAACAAAAATATCAATCGATTGCCTATCAGTAAATCTTTTGTAGCAAAGCCAATTTGTTGGCGCATTACGAAGTACTTGAAATTCGAGTCTCAGGTATCCAAAGAAAATAATCCTTCCACAAGTGAGGTATAAAGAGACAGATCCCCACTCTATCAACTTTTGAGGCGCGCTTACCACTTTTGGGATAATAGAAGAGCGACCACGTCTAGTACTTCAGAGGCTCAATCACATCCTTAGTCCAAATATGCTTCGATTGGGTAGAACAAATCAAACGGACGGCAAGCTCCGATAACCCAAAGTCCAAAGATAATTAATTCAACAAGACATTAGTTTCGATAATGAAAAACCTAAACAGAACCTGAATTTCGAGATCGATATGAGTCTGGCCAGAAGAAGAGAAAGAAGAAAACGTCTCTCCGACGCTCAGCCAATGGGTAGAGGCAGATCGTTTCTACCTCGTTTGAATCCAACGAAAAAGAGTTGATGAGCCAAAAAAATATCATTGGATAGCTTCCTCACCAATTCAGACTGCGCAAAGTCATAGATGCTCGCGAGCATGAAGTAACTAACAGGAGGTCTCGCCGGTGGCAGAGTTAATCGTTGCTTTTCCTAATTTTCAGTGCTCGTTTGCTTGTCGACGCAGAATGTTGGTTGCAGAAAAAATTTGTTTGCAAGTCTTTACCGTATGTGCGCCAAAAAATGATTTGGTGCAGTTTATGCGGCAAGGTCTCGAAAGATGTAAAATTGGTTCATGTCCGGTATGTTTTTAGAAGAGAAAATTGTGGGAGCAAAGTCAAAATCAGCATACTCCATTCTCGTTGCCCTCACACTTACAGCACTTTCCCATAATTTTTGACGACGAGACCCCTTATATAGTTGCTTCATGCCCGCGAGTGGGCCCGTCGTCGCCCGTTTTATTTCAATATAAAGGGCTTCATCTTGAAGCCAAAACAATACTAGAGAAATAATCTACGAAAAAAGGTTGGCACCCGAATAGTTGTCGAAGCCAAATGTACGAAGATTACAGAGCTTCCGATGTGTTATCAGACTCTGCTCGAAGCCGAGCAGCAGCTGGAGGAGAGATTTTGCTGTGATTGAAGATGCTTCGCTGGAGATGTTGTGGAGTTGCGATCAGCCGTTGGGTGGGGCAGCCAGCTCGAGCTTCAGCTTCCAATCGGATTGACAAACTTAATGCTGAGTACTCTGATCTGCTGGGGGGATTCTCCTTGGGGAATTTGTTTACTCTAGTATAACATTATGCATGTGCCCACAGAATGTTAAAGGGATGTCCAAACGACTGAATTACACACAGAAGTATTTTGTTTGGAAATGAAATGCATGTCATCGTTTGGCCATAAATCCCAAATCAGGTGGAAGTAATCATACAAATTTACCCCCGATATGAGGGCCATCAAGCAAATGCCGTGCAAATGGCGGTCATTAGTCCTCCAGGAGGGGGTGGATGGCATTGTAGTTGGTGCGGGGTATGTGATATTAAGGTAATTTTGATTGATTCCCCCCATTCGGATGGGGGTGTGGGAGAAAGGGAAGTCTGTCCTAATGACAGTCTTCCATTTCGATGGCTGTCTACTCCACTCACCAATTGGATCGATGCACTCCTGGGTGAGGCAGCACTTGAGCCACGGCAGCAGGATCTTGTCGGTGACAAAGAGATTGTCCACGAAGAAGACCACATCGAGATCGACCATCCGCAAGAAGATGAAATCCTCGGCATCCGACTCGAAGAAGTCAAACATCTTGGGATGGGTGAGCGAGGAGACCGCCGTGGGCGTGTTCCAGCCGAGGACGCCGGCCACCATGCCGCGACTTTGCAGCTCCTGCAGCTCGTGGTAGCCGCCACGCATCCGCATGTAGTTCTCCACGAACAGTACCGACCGGGCCCGCAGCAGGGCGTCCTTTATCACAATGGGCCGATACGCGTGCGTCCGCTGGTCGGCGACGAACGAGGGAAACTCGGACAGGTCGTAGGTGATGACAGCGCAACGACTGATGTTGCAGTAGGCGCTGAGGGACTTCAATTGGTCCTCCGACACGCCGAGGTCGTAGATGAGCAGATGCTCGCCGGGCAGCTTGACGGCAATGTTCTGGGCCAGCAGTATGGCCGAGGGCGCCTGGCCCTCCTGCACGTACGTGACAATGGTGAAGTTGCTCTTGGTGCCATTGTACGGCGTGGTGATTCGCTTGTGCTGCCCCATCTCCTTCTCCCTCTCCGCAGCGTTGGCGTCCGCTTCCTGTGCATGCTGGCGACGCAGATCACTGAGCTCCAGTTCGGCCTTGGTGGCCGGTCCAGGGTCTGTCTGTGGCAGCTGCTGATGCAGCTCCTTTTGCTGCTGTTGCTCCTGCTGCTGCTGTATCGAGCCATCCTTGGCGGCAGTAAAGCCGAGCAGCACCAGATACTTGGCATCTATTTCGAGCTTCTTACGCTCCAGCCCCACACGCAGATTCTCCTGTAAAGCAGAGCAAACGAGATTATGTAAATGAGATTGCTACTCGCAAATTAGATTTCAATCAAGGACACAGCGCTGACCCAGATAGAGTCCGTATAGGACTCCTTTCCGACTATCCCACGGTGCAAGGCAGCCCCAGTGCAGTGCAATCAATGCCAGTGTCAGAAACAGAAGCAGAAACAGTGGCAAAGGGAAAGGCAGAGGCAGAATTCGCTTCGTCATGGGAGCAATATAAAAGGATACATTCCGGCCACTGGCGGAAACTACTGAGGCAAATCTTTTATTGAGCTTCCTCTGAGGAGGTAGTCCGCCTCAACCCTCAACCCACCATCCACAACCCACGACCCACAACACTCCCCAAACAAATAACTCAAACTCGGCCGCGTGCGCCGCACAATGGAAAAATTTCGTGTTGATGTCAAATTCTTGTCTATTATGGCCACGGGATAGGTAAGCGTGCCACATGCCCTTAAAAGCGGTTCTCTTCTCGCTGCTCTGGTGGCAGGTGTTTGGTTTGGGGGCACAATAAAAAACCAGCCACCATCCCCGATAGTCGTACAAAAAGATACCCAAAATAAACTGCAAAAATCCACAAGAATGCGTATCTGACTGTAATTGCAAATTGGATTTTAGTAAAATTTTAATGGAGATTCAGACTGTTACATCAAGCAACTGGAATGTGATATACCTACCCTCTTCAACATACATACATATACTCCCATTACAGGGTATAATTAACCCACTCCCCACCATAAGCCAACTCTGACTGACAAAGGCCCCAGGCTGGTCGTCGCCAAGCACAAATCGCATGACACCCTGTCGCCTCTGTCGCCAATGGCAGGCCGTGTGTCAAGGACCTTTATTGAACAGAGCCAGAGCCAGATCCTACGCCTTTTATTTTCGAAGCACCTGCCCTCTGGCCCAGCCATAATGATGGATAAAAGCCGAATAGAAAATGATCGTAAGCCCTGGCTATTCCTTGGGGTTTGTCCACACATGTCCGCCCTGCCACCCCCTCCCCCCCCCAAACCCTTGCATAACTACTTTATTGATTTTATAGGGAACTGGCTAGGAACGACCGCCCCCAGTCCGTTGTTATGGGATGTTCCCTGGTGGTTTCCATTTGGATTTTTCATTTCATTTGCCGCTGTTTTCCATTTGGTTTCCATTGTGGGCGCAGCAGGAGCAAGCGGGAGGAGTAGGTAGTCCTCGGGAAATTGGCAAAATAATTTGGATTTCCCAAAGCGATTGGCAACCAAGTGAACATTGGAAACACATTCAGTGAGACAATCGAGAATATTATTTGCTAGCCGCACCCGGGAGAGTAATTTAGCGAACTGCAGCCACAATGGAGGATCTACCCGAGGAGGAACGTCAAATCATTGAGGATGCTTACGCTATAATGGACAGAGAGCAGGATGGTTCGGTGACCTCCAAGGAATTGGCAATCATAATGCGTGCCCTGGGCCGCCAACCCACCGACAACCAGCTGCAGGCAATGATCAATGAGGTGGATTCGGATGGCAACGGCTCCATCGAGATGGCAGAGTTCTGCAGCATGATTCTTCGCAAGATGCACGACACCAATCACGAGGACGAGCTGCGTGACGCTTTCCGGGTATTCGACAAGGAGAACAATGGCTACATCACATCAGCGGAGCTAAAGGTGGTGCTAACAGCCCTGGGCCTAAAGTTGCCCGACGACGAGATCGAGGAGATGATACGGGAGTACGACATTGATCAGGATGGCCATCTGGACTTTGAGGAGTTCGTCAACATGATGACCACCCGTTAGCCTCGCCTTTATGTGAGTGTTTATGTCTGTATATCCTCTTGTCATACCATCCGCTTGTGCTTTGCAGGGCAAGGCTCTATCGTTGACATTTCTGTCACAAAGTTTAGTTTTAAGTTTCAAGGGGGTTTCACATTTAGACTTTAATTACACTTCGATAACTAAGACACAAAACATATTTCATAATACATTTTGGAAAACGCAACACACCCATACAACCATCCATCATGACTTCAAGCTTGACACAAGATCAAATCGAAGAGATTCGAGAGGCCTTTCAGGTGTTTGATCGCGACAACAAAGGATGCATCACCTGCAAGGAGCTGGGCACTGTGATGCGTTCGTTGGGCCAGAACCAAACCGAAGCGGAGCTCTACGACATGATTGACGAGATTGATCTGGATGGGGATGGCACCATTGACTTCTCTGAGTTTCTGCACGCAATATCGCAGCGGATGGCGAGTCTTGGCAGCGATGAGTCCCTGCTGCAGGCCTTCAAGACCTTCGATCGTGACGGCAGTGGCTATATATCCACCCTCGA